CCCCAAAACCCCAAAACCCCTAATTTCAGTATATCTATAAATCTACGTATATTTTTGATTAATTATTCTTGAAAGAACTAATTTAATAAACTTTAGAGCAGTTAATTCTCTTAATTTGAAAAAAAATTGTTGCACCAAACTGAAAGACCTTTAATATTAAAGCCGCTCAGAAAAAGAACAAATCAATTAATAAAAATATGATGCAAAAATAGAATTCAAATGATCATACTTAAGTTTAGTGGTCCACCTAATCTACTAAACTCAAGTTAGACTAAGGATTCAAGTTTTTGATTCATAATTTCAGAAAGGCACTCTTCATAGCTTTCTAAAAGTCTGGGCTCAGCAATGGCTATCATCATTTTGTTGATAATTGGCTTGCTTAATCTAAAGCCTTCCTTCAGGGAAGGGGCATAATTCAACCTACTGAGAGATAAATCTGCGCTCTCTCTGTGCTTCTCTATCCCACTCTTGGGGCTACAATCAAGACTATATAGATTCCAGGTAGCATCCTTTAGAATGGAAAGAAATAGATGAAAACCATTTTTATTGAAAAAGACAGGATCTTCAATCAAGTTCTTGGAGAAGAAGGAATGCAAATCTATAAGCATATTTTCGATAAAAATAGTACCGAAACATTAGACAAATTCTTTAAGGATGACTTCATCAGAATTCTCTGGCCTCTCTTCATTCAATACTCTGAATTCAAATTCCTTTTCAAAGAAAAATCTGAATCAGAGAAGCCTACATAGAAGACAAAAGCCATTAAGAAAGGCCACAAAATAGAGAAATTTCCAAAGTCAAGATCTCAGATCCTCAATGACTTGAAGCCAACCCTCCAGCACATCTCATGGGTTCTAATCCATGAGTACAAACTAGCAGTACCTGCTCTCTGGTTAGAAAAATTTCCACCTGCCAACATGAAGAATAAAGATGACTAGAAAGCTAAGATTTAATGATCAGCTCTCTTTTACTTTTAAGACAGCTCTTAAACCTATTAATGAGCTTATTTTTAATTCAACTTAACTCATTCAATTATTTAATCAAATATATACTATAATTTTGGAAATATCACTAACTACGGGGTTTTGGGGTTTTGGGGTTTTGGGG